TTAGAAGTGAAAAATAGGCCAGGCGTGGTGGTGCACACCTGTAATCCCAGGGCTCAGCAGGCCGAGGCAGGGGGATTGCTTGAGTCTGAGACCAGCCTGGGCTACACAGAGAGTTACAGGTCATTCTGAACTACACAGCGAGACCCTGTCTCAGGAAAAAAAAAGTGAAAAAATAATGGGAAAGGCAATATGTGGTTCTCCACAGTTCCTTTAGGGATATATGAGGTATGACGGTACGGTGCACGTTCAGATTTAACAGTTTACTGCAAACTGCGTGTGGTGGCAAGCGCCCGTAAAGCCAGCACTCGGGAGGCTGAGGGAGGAAGAGCGATGGCAGTTTGAGACCAGCCCGGGGTACAAGGTGAGCTCAAGGCCAGCCTGAGCTGCACAGTGAGACCCTGCCTCAAAAGACCGAAAGAAAGAAAGTTTATTATAGCAAAAGACGCATTGCTGTTAACCCCCTCCAAGTCCTCCTACCTCTTCCCCACTGTTCTGGCACGCTCTGCAGCAGTTCCAGGAGAGACAGGCTTTTACGGGTGTCTTTAATAGTGCTGCTGCGGCTGCCTGCCGCTGTGTTGTACATCATTTCACAACGTGTTCATGTCACGGTCATTCTCACTCTGGGGAAGAGCCAAAGCTCACACAGTTCCGGATCAGGCACATGCGGTGGGTGAGAGCTGGGCTCTCAGGAGGCTGAGGCAGGAGGATTGCTCTGAGTTTGAGGCCAGTCTGAACTGGATGTCGAGACCCTGTGGGGTCAGGGGCAGAGGATGAGGACCGACTGCGGTGTGTTCGGAGCCTGACCTTCCGTGGGATGGCACCCAGCTCTGCCTTCACCGTAGTTTTTTTTTTTTTTAATCACATCTTGTAGAGATGGAAGAGGGCTTCCAGGACCCCTTCACAAAGTGTCGGGAAGGATGGGATAAATATGTTTGAAGCAGAGGAGATTACTTTAAGCGGGATTCGTGGAAATGTGTGTCTTAGTGTCACCATGAGAAGCGAAGGCTCGGCCAGCGGGAGCGGGTGGCTGCATCTGTGGGGACAGCAAGGTTGCTGGGGAGCAGTCCAGGCAGAGGAGAGAGGTCACCCAGCGGGGTGCTGTGACCTCCCCTGACAGCAGGAGGGGTGCTGAGTGTGGAAGGCACAGAGCAGCGGGCAGGTGCAGGGGACAGCTGGGCAAGGCCCTGGCCCGGGATCCTCCGCCTGCGTGGCTCCTGGGTGGGTGGTGATGTCCTGGCTCAGAGGCAGCCTGGAGGCCACAGAGCTGGCAGCTGGCGAGCGTGGGAGGGGCCCAGCCTCCTTCCAGTCTGGCCAGAGGGTCGCAGCAGACACCAACCGCTGGGGAGATCCAGGGTTCCAAGGCACAGGGAAGAAGTTAGAGGCCTTTATTTTTGAGACAGGGTCTCCCTGTGTAGGCGAGGCTGGCTTTGAACTCACTATATGTAGGCCAGGCTGTCGTCAAACTCTTGGCTATCCTCCTGCCTCAGCCTCCTGACTGCGGGGATGACAGATATGCACCTCCACAGGACGGGCTTTTGCTGATGATGCCCCTTGAGTCTGGGGAGATTTAAGGTAGAGAGGTGCATATGAGATTGAAGGAGTCTTAGGAATGTCTGAGACTCTGTGGAAAAGCTGAACATGTTGGACGGGGTGGTGCACATCTATCACCCCTGCACAGAGGGAGGCTGAGGCAGGAGGATCCCAGACTCAGGCCAGGCCAGGTAAATGAGCAAGATTCTGTCTCACACAATAAGGCTGGGAGTGAGGAGTGCGTTGGTGGAGTAAACAGTTTGTGTTCACCAGGTGGTCGGACATTCCTGGCCATCTGTACCGTCTTCCCATTGGATAATAGGTCAAATTGCAAATCTCTGTGAAAAGCTTGAGGAACAAGACCACCACCCTGAAAGTGGAGCCCAGTGCTACCTTTGAGAATGTGAAGGCCAAGGTCCAGGGTAAAGAAGGCCCCCGGCCCCCGCCCCTGCAGGGCTGCAGGCAGGGAGCTGGAAGATGGCCCCCCGCTGTTTGACTGCAACATCCAGAAGTAGTGGACTCTGCACCTGGTCCTCTGCGGGGCTGGGGGGTGGCTGTTGGCTTTTCACTGTCCAGTGGTGGGAGTACTCTGCCCTTGGCCATTTGCCCCAATTTCAGTTTAGCAATTACCAGCCTCAGTAGGAGCTGAACCTGTAAAAAACCTTAGTAAAGGTTTTGTTGCATGCTTTAAAAACAATAATAAAGCTATAGGTGATGTTTGGTGTTCCAAGAAAAAATAATAATGATAAGGCTGGGCGTGGTGGCACAGGCTTGTAATCCCAGCACTTCAGAGGCTGAGGAAGGAGGCCGGCTGTGGGAGTGTGACCACCTCAGGCTACACGGCGAGTGCGAGGTCAGCCCTGGCCACACAGGGAGACCCTGTCTGAAAAACCTAAAAACAAACAAGCCGAAGAATGTCTGTGGGTTTCTCCCTCTTTCATCAGCAGCTCGGTCCACTTTGTGTGCCCCTCTGTCCAGTCTCCTGTGTGTCACTATTCTGTCCCTAAGTGATTTTATCCAGTTGCAAAAGACTCAAATCCTGTGTGTTTTGCTTTTTGAGACAGGGTCTCCTCACCCTCGCAGTGATCTTCCTGCCTCAGCCTCCCAAGTGCTGAGATTACAGGTGAGCACTGCCACACCAAGCTCTTTGAATATCCTTAAATTCCTTTTCCCTGTCTGATGGAACCTTAGCTCCACAGACTTCTCTCTAGCTCCTTATTAGAGATCTTCACTTGAAAGCTTGGATGTCTAGTATACACCTCAGAATCATCACAGCCAATGGCAAAAAAGTGTTTTTCTGACAGAGTTTCACTGAGTCACTTAGTTGATGAGACTGGACTTAAACTTGCTGTCCTGCCTCAGCCTCCCAGAGTGCTGGGATTACCAGCATGCTCTGATAAAGCTGGCTGAACACTGAGCTGTTGTTTTGGCTTTGGTTTTTTGAGATAGTCTTACTATGTAGTGCAGGCTGGCCGGCACTCACAGGAATCCTCTTGCCTCGGCCTCCTGAGTGCTAGGCTTGCAGGAACGGGCCACCGAGTCCGGCCATCCACTGGATGATTGCTTCCTGCCTGTGGCAGAGACTTCCGTTTGGCGCGGTCAAGCACATGCTTTCCTTGTTAGCAGTAATTTCCCAAAGTGCAGCTGAGCTGCTGTTGCCCAGGAGAAGGTCTACACTGTGCTCCTCCTCGGGGTGCCATGTAAAGCCCTAAACCTTGGACGAGGGGCTCAACGTGGAAGGGATGTGTGCACCTTGCAGTCACATTCTGAAACAGCCATTAGGGCTGCTCCCCGGGCCTATCCCTAGCCCTCTTCTGGACACTAAATAAACCTTTCCCCCTTTAACTTCGGGGGTCATGTGTTTTGGCTTAGCAATGAGAGAAAAGTAACTAAAACACTGGATGCAATTCGAAGCGAGTCATGGTGGCACATGCCTGTAATCCCAGCTGCTCAGGAGGCTGAGGCTGGACTGCAAATTCAAGGTTAGCCTGGGCTCACCCTGGTCTCAAAATTATAAAAAGGACTTAGGATATAGCTCTTTGGCAGAATGCTTGTCTGGCATGCATAAGGCTCTTTAAAAAAGAAGACTTTTTAATAATAATAAAACCTGTTCTATGGTATTTGAGCTATTTTATTCTGCTTGTTTTTTCAGAGCTCATAGAAACAACGCAATTCAACAACCATTAACTATCATGGCAGACTCTGAGCGTCTGTGGTTTTGTACAGTTAGTGTGTTGCTGTGAAAGTTGTCTCTTTTTGTTTGACATAGGGTCTTATTATGTAACCAGGCTGGCCTCGAATTCTCAATGATCATCCTGCCTCAGCCTCCTGAGTGCTAGAATTAGGAGCCTGAGCTACTATACCCAGGACCATCTTTACAAAGTTCTTGCCTCTTGGCCATCTGCTCACCTTTGCAGCAGATGTTTTAATTTGGCTTGTCATATTTTAAAACAAGCTGTCTGCAATTTAATCCTGAATACCATTTATTTTAAGCATAAATGTTTAAGCAATAAACACAAACTTTTGCTACAATGTTTGACATTTAACTCACTCCTAGGGGGGAAAAGGCCATGCAGATTAAAGTTCCCTATAAATCAAGTAATTTGGAAAGATAACAGTCCTATTCCATCTTTAAAAATCTGAGGTGTATTTTTTTGCGGGGGGTGGGTTGGGGGGATACAGCCCAAAAAACTAAACATCCTAGCTCTATGGTATGCTTTGGTTTTTTTTGTCTGCTTTGTTTTTGAGAAGGGTTCACTGTGTCCAAGTTCCAAACTAAAATTCAGTGAGGAAATCAAGTGAAATGGCAGGAAGCAAAACCTTTTATTTTATTTGAATGCAATTTTCTAGAAGGAAAACTAGGATTTCAAGGCCCTTGAATGAAACTTTACAGCTTTACCACAGATTGAGACACGCACTGACAGGAACACAGCAAACTTCAGGCTGACATTACCGTCTCCAGGCAATCATACATCCCACAAATGCTGTGATTTAAATAACTTTAAAGACACTGCAGATGCTGACCCCAGGATCATGTCTGAAGCCACCAATTCTGCCTGTATTTGGACATTACTAATCCTTTACTATCTGTGTCAGAGCAAAATCAAATTTTCATATTTGTATTTTTTTGGTACAGCTGCATGTCTAGCTCCTTTTGGGTAATACACATCTGTGCAAACTGTACCACTGGGTATTATTCCCTCAAAGCCAATGTCTGTTTGACTTCCTATTCTAGACCCAGGGGAAGAAAAACATATAATCTAATTTCCTAGAGACCTCTGGATGTCTTCTGAATACTGGCCTCATATTGCTATTATACATTTTTTTAAAAATAACTTAGAAAACAACTCTCTCAGCACTGTCTTTAGTTATGCATGAGGTCTTACAAAGAAAGCTTAAGTGGGATGTTAACATTTTACTAAGGAAAGATGTTTGTTTCTCTTCTCACAAAAGTCAAACAGAAAACAAAGTGTTACTAACATTTTCTATTTATTCATTAATAAAAGTGCATAGTACAAGCCCTTTATCCCAATCCAAGTACTCAGTAAAAGATTAACAATAAACCCTGGATGGCACAGACATGATTTGTTTGGCATGATTTTAACATTTAAAAACAGCAATTATACATGTAGTTCATCACATGGCCACTTTTGCATTTTAACAAAGTAATCATCAGACATGGTAACAAATACATATGAATTTTCACTTAGAAATAGAATAAGACTAACCCTACTACTGCAACAACAAGATTGAACCATCCACTGTAAACACTCTACTTCATTATTCCTTCTTTAGGTTGCTAGTTTGTGTCTTAAACTAGTCCGATGCCAGCACATCTCGTACTTGTGTTGAGTGACAGACTTTCTCCAGAGTGAGGGACTTCCAAGGTTCCTTCAAAAACGTAAGATATTGGTAATTCCATCAGCACTGTCACATCACAAACCACAAAGACAGCAAAAGTAACTGTGGAATAAGCGCTACTCAAAATTACTCCTAAAAATCTCTGCCATTTGTTGAATATGACCCCTAAATACTTTACTAGAAACAGTTCCAATGTTCACCTTTTCCATACAGAAAGCAAAACAAAAACAAAACTATTATTATTCTGAATAAAATAACTTTCAATAGTCCAAAGACAAACTTTTTTTGCGGGGAACCAGCTGTTGAACCCAGGGCCTTGTACATGCTAGGCAAGTGCTCATCCCAGCATTTCTGGAATGTTTCAAGAACCCATTATGATAAAAATGTAAGCTTTATCTTTCTTTTACCCAGATAACTTGAAAAGGAGTACAGGATAGCGACAGTCCAAATGAAAGCTTATGAGTTGAGTAATGATTTAAGAATGCACTCAAGGCGCTGGGGATTTGCCTTGCAAGCAGGCAGTTGTGAGTTCGATCCCTGGTACCGATAAAAAGACAAAAAAAAAAAAAAGAATGCACTCAAGACCACATGAAGAAGCTTTAAGAATTAAATAGAACACAAATTACTAGTTAGGTTAATAAGAACACTTTATGTGCACACACCATCTTTTAAGCAATGCAGAAAAATTAAACAAGCAAAAAAAAAAAAAAGCCTCACTAAGAACTTCTGTTGCTGATGTAATAGAAGGTACATTAGAAAAGGCTCAGACATACCTTTTCTTTACACATATTGAGTCTTGGTCCATTTTGTTTTCCTTTTCTCTCCTCTCTGGTCCCATTTTTTCTACCCCTAAATCCTTTTCCTGTCCTTTCAATGAACCAACTCTGATTCACTGATCCTTTGTATTGTGTTATAAGTCTCAATTTCATTAATTTCTGCTCTGGTCTTTATAATTTTTTTCTATTAGTTTTACTTATTAATTTTGGTATTGGGGATCGAATTTATGACCTCATTTGCCAGGCAGGTGCTTATGCCACTGAACTAAACCCCAGCCTTCCTATTACTTTTAGATTTGGATTGTTCTTGTCTAACCTCAAAATGCATTGTTAGTTATTAGTTTAAGATCACTTTTCTTTTTTCTTGGTACCACGGATCAAACTCGTGACCTCATGTTTACCTGGCAGGCACTTGAGCCACTGAGCTACAATCCCCAGCCCGAGATCACCTCTCTTTATAAGAGTGTTTACAGCTATAAACTGCCCTCTCAGAACTGCTTTCACTGGGCTCCATTGGTTTGGCACATTGTGCTTCCATTGTCACTTGATTCTAGGAAGTTTTTATTTCTGTCCCCATATACTGATTATTCAATAATGTATTGCTTAATCACCATGTTTGTGTAGTTTTTGTGGCTTTTTTACTGTTGATTTCTATCTTCATTTCATTATAATCTGATAGTATGCAGATTATTTCAATTGTTTTGAATTTATTTCAGCATGCTTTCTGGTCTAAGATGTTTTATTTTGGAAACAGTTCTGTGTGCTGTTGAGAAAAATGTGTATCCTGTTGCTGGCACTGTGGATACGATAAGCCCATTGGTGCCGCGGTGTGCTTTGATGCTGATGTTTGTCTGGATGACCGAATTGTGAGAATGCAGTATTGAAGCACCCCCACCCCCATGACTGTGCTGATGTCTGTCCAGTAATGTTGTGTTGTAAAATTCAGTGCATAGATTTTACAACTGTTATCTCTTCCTGTAACAGTGTGTAGTAGCCATCTGTGTCCCTTCTGATTAGTTCCGGCGTGAAGTCTGCTATGTGTGGAAATGACATGGCTCTGGGTGAATGGCGTATCATTTTCCATTCTTTCATGTTCCATCTATATACTTCCTTTTACTATACACGTCCCCTACAGGTAATAAATATATGGGTGCATTTTTTTCCTTTTTGGTTTTTTTGAAACAGGGATTTGCCATGCAGTTTAGGCTAGTCTTGAGCTCAGTTTGTAGCCCAGGCTGGTCTCAAACTCACAACAATTCTCCTGCGTGCTGGGATTACAGGCGTGCGCCACCACACCCAGTCCTATATGGTTGCGTTTTTGAAAATCTAATCTGCCTGTCTGTGTCTTTGGACTGGGGAGCTGAGAGACCACTGACCTTTGCGCTATTATTCTAAGATGTTTATTGAATTCATTGTACTTTTTTTCTGGTGCTTTATTTTTCCCTTTTACCTACTCTCTCAGGTAGATGTATGCTTTCCTCTGGTTCCCTGATGCTTACAGCCTCCCTATCAATCTAAGGTTCTCTTAAATATGTTCTGCAATGCTAGGATAGTGGTCATATAAAGTCCTTACTTTTCCATCAATCCTAAAGGCTCATTTTACAGTATATGAAATTTGGGGCTAACAATTTTTTTTTCTTAAGTGTTTGAAAACTTTGCTTCAAACTCTCCTGGCCTTTGAAGTTGTGCTAAGAAATGTGCAGTTATTCTGATGTGCTTGCCTTTGTAGTATACATGCTGTTTTTCTCTAATAGCTTTTAGTATTCTCTCCTCTTGTTAAAGTTCCTGGAATTCCTATGATGATGTGTTATGAAAAGGTTCTTTCATGGTCATAGCAATTTGGGTTCTATAAAATCTCTTGTACTTGAATATTGAACTAGATTTGGAAAAATATCTTCAATGATTTTACTGTGTAAATCTTTTCTTCCTTTGAGTCGTCTTTCTAATCTTTCCTTTATTCCTATAATTGTTTGATAATGTAGCAGCTGTTGGACCCAACTTGCATGGTGTCCTGTCTTTTCCAGGGTGTCCCTGAGTTTATGATGTTCTACATCCACTTTGCCTTCTGTTCCTCACACTGTCCACACACTGGTCAAGTCTGCTACCTGTGCTGTCCATGGGATTTTTCATATCACTCATCTGTGCTGCTTTCTAGTCATACTAATTCTTTTCCAAAGTGGTCATTCATGTGCTGTATTTTACTGCTTCTTTTTTTTTTTGGTACTGGGGATTGAACTCATGACCTTGCATTTACCAGGCAGGCACTTAAACCACTGAGCTACATCCCCAGCCTGTATTTTACTGCTTAACTCAATTAGTTTATTGCTGGTTTTTTCTTGAAGCTTGTTGAATTTTATTAGTAAAAGTCTCTAATTAAATCCTCTTTAAGCACCCTAAACATGCTCTGCATTTGCTTATGTTTCTTCTTTTATCTCTTTGAACATTTAGACCATTTGTTTTTGAGTTCTTCACCTACAGCTTCCTCTGCTTCAGTGTCTCAGAGATCAGATTTTGGGGAGCCAGGAGTTTTGAAGGAAACCGCTGTGGAGCTGTTAGGTTCAATCTCCCGTGACGTGTCCTTAGGAATGTTTTGGGGTTTATGCTCCTCTTCGATCTATTCAGCATATTTGAAAGTCTTCTTAGAGTCCAACCTTCAGCAACACTCAAGAGAGGAGAAAGTGAGCGGCAGTCATGTTGACGACACAGACAAACCAGATGTGTACTGGCATACAGTTAAAGCCAATTAAAAGCAACAACTATGCTACCATTAATAACAGAAAAGAACTCAGCAATAGTAGCATAGTCAATCAAATAGCTAAAAATTAATAAGGCTTGAGAGTAATAGTAAAAATGGAGAGAATGAGTGAAGGATGAAATAAGTAAAATTTGAAAAAGGAAGAAGAAAAGTGGGATTAAAAACTCCAGTTAAAGTTACAGTTCCTTTGTGTACCTAGGCAAGTGGTTCTTCGCAGGGCCTGTGGCACTGAAATGCACCAGATCTGGACGGGAGGAGTGCGTCGGGCAGAGGCCTATCTGGTCTGCATGCCCACTTCTTGAGTATGAATGCCGAGTCCTGCCTCCTCTCCCGCCATGCAGGCTCAGGCCCGCGGTGCTGTCCCTCAGGCCTCCATCCACTCCAGGAGCTGTGCCCTTGTGTGATACAAAGCTCTACAGGCTCCGGCTTGGGTGTGGCGCCTCCCTTGATCCAGATTCCTTGTCCATACGCTCCCGGATGTTACCTGTCCGAGCTAAGGCGAATCCCTGACCGTGTCCACAGGTGGGCTAAGCAAAGAACCCCTGAGCTGTGCTGAGGCAGGCAGCCAAATACCCCTGGACAGTGTCAGCGTTGTCAGCCTCTGCCCCCCTAAACCACTCTGCTGGCCCAGCTTCTCTCCACAGAGGGCGGGACCGTGCCATCCTTCTCAGGGCATCTGCAATCAGTCCTGCTGGCCTCGTGGCTGGCTTTCACTCAGTCAGCCCTGAAGTAGTCACTCAGTGACTTCTGATTCCCACAGTAGCTTTGTCTTAAACCACGAGCCCGCCCCCAAATGGCGAGGACAGCAGGCGGGCAATGACCTCTCGGCCAGCCCAGGCTGTGTCTGCTGCTGACATCCTGGGCGCTTTTCTGCAGCCGGCCTGCTGTTTCCCCTGGGGGCTGCACACGACCCTCCGGCAGGCCTGGCTTTGTGGAGACAGGACCTCCTCTGGAGCCGCGCTAGCATCCCACATGCTGTTGTCTTCAGTTTCTCTACACTTTCTAGTTTTCTTGGAGCTCTACTTCTTTTTTCCCTAAGGTGTTATTTTCGAAGTGTCTTCATTTTAGGGCCAGAGAAGCTGTATTTTGCAATGATTTTTTGAAGTTAATATATTTAGATGTAATGTCAATTAAAGAACTAGAAACAAGAACCCAAATTTTCAGGTCTCTACACTTGAAATATTCTGTATTCATACTTCAGTCACTTCTTCACACAAAGCCAATTCTGTGACTTGTAGATCTACAGATTCTATAAATCAGAGCGCAGCAGTATCTCTGCTTGGCACTGGCTTTGTAGCAGGTTACAGGAAAGACTGTTTGGAAATATGGACCAATGTCAGAATCCATCAGGTAAGGGCAAGAAATGGGCAGCGGGAGGGATCTGGCTGCACACAACGCTCTCCAGCCCTTCTGCTTAAACACTTTCCCAGCTGGAGCTGGGAAGGCAGCCAGCAGGCCACAGCAAGGGGGGACTCTCTACTCTGTGGTGTTCACTTAAGCAATGATTTAAATTACCTGTGCGATGCTACCTCTTCATTAGCACAAGTAATATAGACTCGGATATATTACTTCAGGAAGTTGAACACAAAGCCAAGATGAAATGTACACGCAAGAATGCAAGCAGTCAGTAGTGGATTATGTAATGAAATAATGCCCTTCCAATGCTTCTGGCCTGTAATACAGTCATAACAACGGGGAAAATAAAAGTGTCACACAACTGTATCACAGACTAACCAGTATAATGATACAGAGAAGTTTATTGAATTCACAGAAATAATCTTTCAGATCTACACTGTACAGAGAAAAGCTAGAGTGACCTATGGGAAAAATCCTTACATTGATAGGAAAATATCTTCTAGTCCCCATAAATCAACTGGAATCACTTGCTAGGGAAAAATTCCCAAACCATATGGGTCATATAGACACTTAAAAATGCCATGTATATTCACCTTTTTTTTTTTTTTTTGGTTTGTCTGAACTGAGCATAGCAATGAACACTTTTCCTTTTTTATATACCTCAAAATCTCACATTAATATTCCTTTCCACCCCAATTCACCCCTTTACAAGCAGGAATGGGGTTAAGGGGTAAAAAGGTTTTTTTTTTTTTGTCTTTTTTGAGACGGGGTCTCGCTATGCGATTCAGGCTGGCCTTGAGCTCACTTTGTAGCCCAAGCTGGTCTCAAACTCGCAATGATCCCCCCACCTCAGCCTCCCGAGTGCTGGGATTACAGGTGTGAGCCACCACACCCAGCTGGTAAAAAGGTTCTTGATTGTTTCTTATTTTCCCTTGAAATAAACTAAGACTTCATTTAACAAATTTAAGTCATAAGGAGCACAAAAGACTTGAAATTTTTCTTCAAATAAAAGAGTGAATAACAGGCATTCAAATGTCAGTAACCCAAAAGGCCCCATAAAGATTAAGATAGTTTCATTTTAATAGGGGAATATTAGAAAAGAAGCTTCCTGAGAGGCACTCATTTTACAAATAAATTATAGCTTAAGTTATTACTGAATAGATTCGACCTGGCAAAGGTAGAAATCATGAATTTTTCCCCGCTCTTCATGAGCCATGTAAGGCTAGTGTACAGTGGTTTGCAAATGTTACTAACCGACTGTTAATCATCTACCGTACTGATCAACCGTGTTTATGTAAAGTATTCTTAACATTAGACATTTTAATGGGAATAAAAAAATCAGTAAGCCATTTCACTGCTCTCCTCTGACTGTAGCCATATAAACCAACTGTAACGAGTAATACAGATTTCATCTATAATTTGTAAAATATTCTAAGAGCTGCCACAGACCAGAACTAGAGAAAACTGCTGCCCTCAAATAAACTAGAAGGTAAATGTAAATACAACTGTGGTTCTCATTTTCTTTTGTACAGCCCCAGATAATCCCAAATAACATTATAAATACCTTATGAAAAACAATTTTTTAAATCTATCAAAACTATTTAAAATATTAAAATGCAGAAATTTCAAATTTCTTTCAATCAGGCCAGAAATCACCACAAAATTAATGATCATAGTTACAAACAGAGTAAGTGGAATGTTTAAGTTGAGGACAACCAAAAAAGCCCCATATAACTTTTTTTTTTTAATATAATCATTTACTCAAACATACTGTAAATAGGAATGGTGATAGCACAGGAAGCAAAAATAAGTTTGCAAGTGAAGTTTCTAGAAGCTCATGGAAACGATACCATCCCATGTTGCAGACGCCAAAGGAAAACTCTTCTAGTGGGTTAGATCATCACTCTGGTCACCTCTGTTCATTTGGTCGTGCAAGGTATAGCTATTTTCGCTTCCCGTATCACAAAGTTAGTCCACAGGAGGAGCTGGCGGATCCTGTCCCTGGCGTTAAACAGAAACAAGCATGAATGTAATCACTATTTGCTGCAAGCATGTGCTAACAAAAATAGAAATTTAAAAAAGAAATTCTTTAAGTGACTTCTTCAATCCCAATCTAACATTTATAACAAGAACTGAGCAGCAATGCCCCAATCCTCCAACTCAAACTTGGTTTTTATTTGAACTTTTCACATGTTTTTACACATAGGAACGCTGGGTTAACCCTGGTTCTGCTCTTTGCCTCACACTTCCCTGGGGCACGTGGAAAGGGACACTGTAACAGATGGTGATTTTCCTCCACTTTAGGGAGTGATCTTTCCTCTGGTTGAAGTGATTGGGTGAAGCCAGGGCCTTGTGTTTCTCATAGAATGTCCATGAGGACATGTGTGGTGGGAGCTGCCTCTGGAAGGCATTTTACAATTGTGAAGGGCACCAACCTGGCAGTGAAACCAGTGATAAGAAGAGAGAAACCTGGTCTCTAATGACATTTAAACTCTGTAAACTGAAGCCTGTGATCCCAGCACTGGGAAGCTGAGGCAGGAGGATCGCAATGAGTTCAAGGCCAACCTGGCCTCTGTCTTGAAAAAACAAAACAAAACAAAAAACAAAGTGAAATTTTTAACCACTGAACCTACTTTTGAGGGTTTTTAAAAATGTGTAAACCAATAAAGTGACTTACATAAACCACTTTGAATTGTTTTTTGTTGCTTGCAATAGAAAGCATGTAAAATGAAAAGATAGGTCTTCAGGATCTTTGAGACGATCGATTTAATTTACTTACACTGATAAGATTTGTTAGGGCTCAGTTAAAGGCGATCAATATTTCTACTTGGAATTAGATTGTGTTTTTTCTTGCTTAGTCCAGCCAGGGCAAAGGGACTACTATTCCTAGAACCTCTGCCTACAAGGAACCCTAGTCTGTGGGTGTGTCACTTCTAATTACTTCTAGGTCTGATTATTAAGTTGGAATTCTTAAACATTGAGGAAGTTGCTCTTTGACATGAAAATAATAAAGCTGTATACATTGTAAGAAAAAAGGGTAAGGAAGAAACACTTTATCAAGACTATGTAATCTATTTTATGAATATTTCCTTCTTTCAAAGAAAGACAAAAGTAAATTTAAGCATTTTCTAGGTGCTAATAATGCCTTCTTTCACAATTAAAGTCACCATGCAACATTATCTAAACAGCATTTTTTCCTCCTTGAGACACGGTCTTGTTATGTCATTCACGGCCTCTAACTGGTGGCACTCTTGTTGCCTCAGCCTCCCAAGTGCTGGGATTACAGGTAAGTGCCACCACACTTGGCCAGCATACCTTATTCATACAAGACTGTAATTTCTGCAGATCATACTGTACAGTAAAATACTGTAGTTTTATATTCTATTGTATACCACAGTACTGCATATAAGAGTTATGCCAATAAAAGCAAAGTCATCAAGTTGGAGTTTCCTTTGACCATTTTTATTGTGAATATCACACATACTATATACAATTCCTCACTTAGCAACCTATTCATTCACTGACCGAGGTGCAGAAATGGAACTCAGTCACTAAATGAGGAACATCTGTATAGCAAATTAAAAAGCTTCTGTACAGCAAAGTAAACAACCAACAACCTAAATAGGAAAACATTTTTGTAGTTGTTCCTCAGTAGATTCCCCCCAAAACGACCTAATCAGCTGGCTATGGTGGTGTACACCTGTAATCCCAGCAATAGAGAGGCTGAGGCAGGAGGATCATTGTGAGTTCAAAACCAGCCTGGGGGAAAAAAAAACCAGCCTGGATTACAAAGTGAGCTCAAGGCCAGCCTGAACTACATAGCAAAACCCTGTCACAAAAGACACCACCACAAAGACCTAATCAAAAAATGGGTAACTGAAATGAAAAGACATTTCTGAGAAAAAGTAAAAATGGCCAATAAATACATGAAAAAATGTGCAACATTTCTGGCCATTAGAGAAATACAAATTGAAACTGTACTGAGATTCCACATTCTCCAGAAAGAATGAATATCAACTGTAACTCAAAAATAACAAATGCTGGTGAGGGGAAAAAGAAACACTTTTACATTGTTGGCAGGAAGTAAACTAGTATAACTACTACGGAAATCAGTGTGGAAATTCCTCAAAAAACTGAAACTAGAACTCCATTTGAACCAGCTATTTTCCTGCTAGGTATCTTCCCAAAAGAGTTAAAGCCATCATATTACAGCGATACATGCATAACCACGATAATAACAAGACAATTCCTAATAGTTAAATCTTGGAAGCGGCCTATGTACTGTGAAGAGAGGAATGGAAGAAGAAAAGCAGTATTTACACACAATAGAGCACGCACTCCTCTATCACAGAGGACGACATGCAGTGCGTGAGTCATCTGCAGGAAAGTGGGTGCACCTTGAGACCATAATATTAAGTGAACTAAATCAGCCACGTGAGCTTAAATATCACACAGGAAACAGGGATACAGATCTGCAAATGGAACAGACCAGGAGATAAAGGGAGGGTGGAGAAGGGAGGGGATGTAAAAAGCAAGAATCTGTGTCATGCACACACATCAAGTCCCCAGGAGCAATCACTACGTGCGGCAAATATGTGCTCATACATTTTTAAAATTAAAAAAAAGGAAATAGAAAATAAATGTGAGAGAAATTAGGGTGAAAAAACAAGACAAAAGCAGAACTTAGCCTGCTAGGCTCAGTCTTTATGTGTATTGTATTTAAAAGCTCAGCTTTTGGAAAGACACTGAACTGAAGGTTCTAGGGTGCCTGAGGTGGAAAGAGGGCATGAGCAGCAGGGCCCTGCCGTGGGAAGGGGGCCAGGAGAGAACAGGGGTTCCAACTGTGTTAGGACCTGGACCGTCACTCATGTTTCTTGTGAGTAGAGACTAGAATTCACTGTTAAATCACTACACCACTCATCGGTGCTATTTTCTATGGCTACCTGCAAGCTTTACCAGGACTACAAAGGAAGAACTCATTGCATGACTTAAGCCTTCCTCTTGCCAATTAATTCATTAATTAATTAATTTTCCCTCTTGCTAATTTAGATAGTGTATTTCAGTCAAAATAAACTCTCCCCTCCCCAGGCCAGAGAAACACACCTGTTCCTGGCAGTCACAACCCACAGCACTTACATTATGAGGGCTGCTTGGCTTTCCTGGAAGGTTGGATCCTCTTAGATTAGGAGGTCTCAGTAGAAACAAGATCACTGCAATAACCATCCAGGCCATCAAAATCATAGTAATACTGATGCCACTGTCACCGGAGGGTCCTGGTACTAAACACAAAAAAAAACTTACTGTAGTCAAACTGTATCCTGATTATAATACTGTTAGATAAATGTAAAAATTTCTCTAATGACCAGTGATGTAGAACATTGTTTCATATATTCATTTGTCATTTGTATTTCTTCATCTGAGAAGTGCACATTCCTCTCAGATGCCTATTTTTGTATTGGGTCTTTAAATTTGGGGGCCTGATTTTTTTTTAGTTCTTTATATGTTCTGGATAGAAGTCCTCTAATTTCTTTTGACCTGCAAAAGCTTTTCAATAAAATGAGATCCCAGTTGTTGATTCTTCGAAGTACTTCCTGTGCAGTTTGGGTTTTGTTCATGAACTCTTTGCCTACCCTTGTCTTCAAGATTTCTACCTATCTTGTCTTCCAACAGATTTAGTGTTTCTGTATTAATACATAGATCTTTGGGCCGAGGATTTATTCAGCAGCATAAGCGCCTGCCTGGCAAGCTCAAGGTCATGAGTTCAATCCCCGGTATCAAAACAAAACAAAACAAAAAAACATATTTAAAAAATACATAGATCTTTGATCCATTTAGTTTAGTGCATGGTGACAGACATGGGTCTAGTGTTACTCTAGCAAATGGAAAGCCACTTTTTCCAACCCCATTTATTAAAGAGGCTGTCTTTCTCCCAGTGACCCTATTGTCAAAGATAAGGTGGCTGAGTGTGTTTGTAGTTGTTTCTGTATCTTCTAGTCTGTTCCACTGATCCTCAGGTCTGTTTTTTGGTTTTGTTTTGTTGGTACCATGCTGATTTTATCATAGTAGCTTTGTAGTATAATTTTATTTTATTTTTTTTATCGGTACCAGGGATTGAACTCACAACCACACGCTTGCAAGGCAGGCGCTCATGCCGCTGAGCTAAATCCCCAGCCCCTGTAGTCTAATTTTAAATTGAGGATTGTGATACATCCTACTTTGCCTTTGTTGCCCAGGATTGCCTCTGTATTTCTAGTGACCTTGAATATTTAATCCTCCTACCTTAGCCTCCCAAGTAGCAGGCACTGCAGGCATGTACCACTGCTGCCAGCACCACTACTAAATTAAACTCTGCCTTACTGATTCAAACACTCAACTATTTATCTATGTCAATAGGTCTGTATTTTTTTATACATCAACAGTTCTTAAATTGGGGAGTGCATTAGAGTCATTTGGTAGCCCCTTAAAAATGCAGAAATTCTACCTGCACCTCACATACTCTTGATACTCCACACTGCAATCCTGAGCATCTCACTGTGCTTCCCTACCCTCTACCAAACTGGGTCTCTGTTCATCCAGCTGCGCAGACCAGGAATGAAGAGAACAACTCTGTCATCTCTTCATGGTCCCTGCCTAACCTATCATGAGGTTTCGGCCCATTCTGCCTCCTAAATATCACTCCAAGCAGCCACACGTAGCTGGCTTCCCCGACCAGCTGAAACCAGCATGGCCTCTTGTCCAGTGGACTGCAGAGGCCTCTGGTCTCATCCCCTCATAGCCAGTGCCTCCTCAGCCCTCTGCACTATTGCCAGAGTTATGCTTGTTTCGGGGGGATATTTATTTTATTCTATTTCATTTTATTTCACTTAACTTCTTCTCATTTTATTTGAGACAGGGTCTCCCTATCCAGTGCGGACTGCTTTTGAACTCACCATGTAGCACAGGCTGACCTCCAACTTGTGGTGATCCTCCTGCCTCAGCCTCTGGGTGTATACTGGGATTAAAGAGATGTGTCACCACACTTGACTCAAGAGTTATGGCTCTTTCTGGGGGATTTTTTTTTTGAGACAGGGTCTCACTATGTAGTCTAGGCTGGTCTGATCTTAAACTCATTATGTAGTCCAGGGTGGCCTCAAACTCACAGTGATCCTCCTGCCTCAGCTTTCCAAAGTGCTGGGATTAAAGGTGTGCACCACCATTTCCAACAGTTATGTTTTTTTAAAAAGTAAATACTGTAGGGAGCGGCACAACCACCCTGCTGCTGTCTCCCAGCCTCTCCCTCATATGGGCACATAATGCGCCTACATTAACCATAATCCTCTCCTACTCACGTCACATACACGGACGTGACGATGACCCATCAGAGATCACCCCGCAGCCTCTTCCTGTCCCACCGGCCCGCCCCTGCCCTATAAAAGCTGCAACCACTTGCTCAATAAACGAGACTTGATCGGACTTTCTCGAGTAGTCTCCGTCTCTCTGTCTCCTACCCTGTGTTAATCCCTGTTTCTTCCCCAGGAAACTGCCCTGCGGATCCGGATTGACCCGTGGGCCGGGTCCAAATACTGTTATTTTTATTATTAAAAACAGCTGAGACTTGATTGGTCACTGTGAACTAGGCATCATCTCTTCATTCTTTAAACAGCTGCAGAAACTGGGAAAGGACTAAAGCCCAATGTCACAAAGTAGTATATGGCGGAGATGGGATTAAGATACCGTGGCCGGCCGTGGTGGTGCATTCCTGCGACTTTGAGGGCAACCTAGACTACTTAATAGGTTCAGGGCCTGTTCTGAACTACTTAGATCCTATCTCAAACACCCTCCCCCACAAAAGATAGAAATAGTCACATCTTGATGTTGGTGTGGATCTTTGTTCTTGGAGACAAGGTCTGATTATGTATAGTCCATGGACCTGTGATATTTCTGCCTCAGCCTCTTGCGTGCTAAGGTTATAGTCTCATTTTGAAATCTGTGCTCTTAACTCACTGGTGCATGGTATCTCTAACAACAGCACACAGTGAGACACTCCTGAGAGTTACTAATCATGTGGGTAGTAAAATCAAGACAGACAGGCTCAAAAAGGATTTTTATAAACAAGCATATAACTAGCTAGGTAAAATAAATTATTTCAGATTAGTCAAAGGATGAAGCTGTGTTTGGAATATATTATCACTTCTTTTTTTCTTGGTCTTTTTGACAGGGTATCACTATGGAATTCAGACTGGCCTTGAGCTCATTTGTAGTCCAAACTAGTCTTGAACTTGCAATGATCCTCCTGTTTCAGCCTTCTGAATGCTGCTGGGATTACAGGTGTGCGTCACCATGCCTGGCTGTATTACCACTTCATATAGGGCCCCCATCAGAAACAAAATGCTAAATTATTTGTGTAGAGTAGATGTCTAACCCCAAAACCAATTTTTACATCTTTCAATGTAGAGAGCCATTTTTTTTCTTGCAAGTAAAAAAAAAAAGGGAAGAATTAAGAAAAAAAAAAAGGTTCTGCAGCTTTAGAGAACTCAACCTCAGCTTATAAATTCACTAATATGTTTTCTGCACAGTGTCCCTTTCCAAAGCGTGCCCCTTTTAAGATGCTCTCTTCCCCACACACTGCTCTAACGGCTCTCCACCAAGCTGCCTGGCACAGTGCTGCAGTCTGGAGGCCATGGCTCCACCCTGCTCTGACTTTCTCCGGACTTCACTGCCTGCTTACCCAGTCTGCTGTGTGCGCTACATGGGCACTGGAGCACACAGGGTGGTGAAGCCCGTGGCCAGCCACCACCCAGCTCCTCATTCAGCACGTCCCGTCCTGCCCCCGCTTCTGGGCCAGCCATGCCTCTGGCAGCTCCACAGCTGCATCGTGGCATTTTAACCAGGAGAGATGTCTGTGCACAACCTCTCCTAACCTGCTCACTCACTTTCTAAGAATTTAAGCCATCCCGCATTGTTTGAGTGCACCAGCCCTTGGTAATACAATCTTTGCATCTGCGGTGTCTTTGTCTTGAAATAGAAATAGTGGCTCCAACGCTGGCTAGTACCTGATAGCACTGAGTGACAGAGCAGCGCGGTGCCAGAAGACGCTGCCAGTCCTGGAGCTGAACTGCTTTTGTGGTGCGGATTTGATCCAGGCTTCTGCATTTTGGGCAGTGCTCTACCACTGAGTGACACCTCGGCTCACATCTGTTTATCCTTTTTCTTTCTTTTTTTTTTGAGACAGGGTCTCAATCTGTAGTCCAGGTTGGCCTAGAACTCACTACATAGCCTAGGCTGCCCTCCAGTTTGTGGCTATTCCTCCTGCCTCAGCCTCCAGAGTGCGTGTGCTACCGCACCCACCTGCTCGTTTTGAAAATGGAAAGAAGAGGAAGAAGAGTGTGTGAAAAGAAGTGGAGCACATGTGTGTATATACGCACACCACATACATGTTTTGTACATAAACAAAAAGCTCTGGCAAGGCAGAGGAAGAAAGCTGCTATCTCCCAGAGAAGACAGAGTTGCTGAAGACTGTCAGTAGGGAGCCAGCTTTTCACTGGACACTGGACGCAGTCTGCTTTTTTTTTTTTTGTCCTTTTGAGACAGTGTCTTGCTATGTAGGCCTTGAACTCACTATGTGGCCCAGGCTGGCTTCAAACTCACAGCCATTCTCTAGCCCCAGCCTTTCCAGTGCTGAGATTACGCCATCACGTCGGGTCACGAATCACATTCTTGATTTTTGAACCATATGTACAAAAATGAAGTAAGCTGAATTAATGAGACAGTACTCTGGGATTGAAGACACTGAGCACATCAACTGACCCTGCCTCCTTAAACATTTAGAAGCTGGGTGTAAACAGGGCCACTGCAGGTTCTGTGCCAAACTCTGCCCCTTAGATGACCCATGGTCCCGAGTCAGACTGGGAAACCAGCAGCTGGCCTGGGGAAAGGCACTGCTCCAACTCCCTGATGGTTCAGCAAGGAACAAACACCAAGGACAGCCAGGTGAATGGGCTTGCTGACAATCTGGCCACTGTGTGCACTGGGAGAACCTTCTGGCATTGAGAAGCACTAAGATCACAGTCATGGGGGAGGATATGAAATCTGCCCCCACCCTTGGAACTCCCTGTGAATCACAAGTCACAGGATTTCACTGCAAACACTCTCTGGCCTGGGAAGGTATCAGATCATGAAACCATACAGGGACTTTGGACGCTGCTTCACTGTTTGCTCTGCATGATGGAAGCATTAAATTCCAGTTATAAGCAAATATGAGCCGAGCAGGTGGTCGGGGATGTTATGCTGAAGCTATTAG